CCAACCAGGCACCCAGATGAAACCTAGCTTCCTAATAAATGATAGCCGTCCTTTTACCCGAAGCCAAGCTGCACTAAAAACCTCCAATACAGGACACACAATGTTGCCAGCCAATCAAAAAATGCTACAAAACAGACAGAAGATATTAGAAACACCAATCAAGCAGAACACAGCAAACTCCAAGACCAATAAACACAGACAAGATTCCCAACCAATCAGGATGAAGAAAAAAACCATTCTAACACAGCAGTAGGCTAGCACCAAATTTAAAACAGAAACGGCTGTGAAATCCTGACTCACAAACGAACACAATACATAAGCCTGATGATGGCAGATGAGACTCTGCCGAAATGTCGCTACAACTTTAAAAGCACAGCTATAATGACGTGGGAAAATACCCGAACAAAGTTGAATACCATACATATAGATACCCGCGAAAACTTAAGAAAATATATATATATATATGTGTGTGTGTGTGTTTTCTTAAGTTTTCGCGGGTACTTACATGTATGGTATTCAGCTTTGTTCGGGTATTTTCCCATGAACAAAGCTGAATACCATATATATATGTAGGTAGGTAGGTAGGTAGGTATGTGTATATATATGCATGCTTTCAATGAATCTCCTGGCAATGTACATCAAAATCCTTGCATATATATTATATATTATTATTATACCAGCCAAAATCTCCCAAGTGAAGAAGTTGTAGTAGTATGGAGAGCCACAAGAATTTGCATCTAGATTCCTCCTAACCAACTCTGACCTGGCAACAAAATACAGTCTAATGCTACAGTCTCACATCCTCTATACCAGGGATCCCCAACTCCTGGGCATCGGCCCACTATGGCCTATTCAGAACTGGGCCACATGAGTGGCTGGCCACCATGCATGCACCTGCAGCTCAACTTCTGTGAGCAGTAGGCCAGAGGGCATATGCATGCATGTGTGCCACTCATGCAAAGCTGCCACCCTGCCAGTCACACGGCCGAGTTTACCACTCTTTCCCCCTCCCGCTGGGCTGCCGCTGATATATACAGTTGCTGTAGATATGGAGAAAGTTCTGGCAACCACATAAAAGTAACTTGTCCATCATTACTAAGTGAAACTAATTTATTGGAATATGTCTTCAGCTTAGGTCTCTTTGGATGGAAGCTAATAATTCTCACCCTTATATTATTCATATTGTAGCAAAAAAAAATCCTGCAAACATTTCATGCAAATATTAAATACTCAAGTGGCTTGTTTTTTTATTAAAATATATATTTCCAAGCACATTTTCTCACCTCCCATCTCTCACAAACATCTTTGCTCCTTTCCTCCACAAGTGCCTTTTCATGAGCTGATAAAATGCTTTTCAGCTGTTCTGCTGCTTTCAAAAACTTGCTAAGAATGTTAGTATCCAAGATGCTAAAAGCCTCCTGGGAAAAAAATGACATAAAATTATGGAATGATAATCAAAACAGCAACCCCTCCATCCCAAAGTAGATGCATGCCTAGGTGATATAAGGGTCCTTCCCATTCCAGTACAATTACAGATTAAAACAAGGTTTGCTGGACGTGGATGGACAGCCTTTGAAATAACATGTTTGAAGCCATAGTCAGAACAAGAACAGCTCATCTAATGTGCATTCAGTGCATTCATGCTGGCTTGGTGAATTCTGGGAGTTGAAGTCCACACATTTTAAAGTTGTCAAGATTGAGAAACACTGAGTCAGGCCCTAGGCCTAGGACATGTTTATCTTTCCTATGTTCTCTGGTTTCATTAGTTTGAAGCCCTGTTACTATCCCTTCCCACTAGATCTTTGATATAACTCTGGGGCACTGCATAGGGAAATTACAAGTATCTCCATTCTATTGTGTGCTGATCTCAGCCCCACAGCCCTCACAAGATAAGACCAGCAGGTGAGGCCAACTGGAACCCTAAGTTAAACACTCATGTATATTTGTTAGTTGCAGTTTCCTACCAAGAAGCTGCATCCCTACAAGACATACCATCATATTTCAATTACTTTATAATCAAAAGCAGAAGGAAAACGGGGAAGAAACAGGCACTGCTGTTCCTTTTTAAAAAAAGAAAAAGAAAAATATTGTTTTATTGAACTGTAAGATGCAAGATGCAAGTAATACATTATATTATTTGGGTACAGTGGTATCTATACATATGAACTAGATATTATTAATGCTATAATGATTTAGGCAACTTATAATTTTACAGGTAAGGAAAAGACTTTATATCAACATTAACTGTGGTTTGTAAATTGTAACTGTTAATAAACATAAGGTTGCTGTTTCTGTTAACAGGTGGTTAATCTATGGCAGCAAAAAATCAGGGGTCTGGTAATATCTTTTCCAACCAATGCAGGAGTTACAGCTCACAAAGGCTTATTATGCCTTTTAATAAAATGTGTTAACTGAAAAATGTGCTTTCAGACTTGATTTGGAGACATCATTTTGGTGTTTTTCACAGTCCAGATTATTTATGTCAGAGATGTACAATTTCCATCAGTTCAAATACTGCACCATGTTTTGCATAATATTTTGAGGGTCTCATTCCAAAAATACAAAGGGCCAGGCTTGTTTTGGGAGTTGGTTTTAACAGGTAAAATGAATGCCTTCAGCATGTACAAGATTTAAAGAACCCATTAAATCTCTAAAAATGTTGACAGAGCTCAAACCATTATAAAAGGAACACTAGTAGAGCATACTTTTTTTTTTTTACTTCTGCCTGGAGACATCCTTAACATGTATTTTAAAGCTCGCATAATACCCAGTTTTGTTTTTCATTTAGGACAACCACAGTACTCTGTCCTTTAGGGTGCTTACAGTGGTATCATGGATTAACTCACTTCATATTTTGAATGTGGTTCTTCAGAAATTGTTTTTTGGCCTACAAGATGCATGGCTTTTAGAACAATTGTTTCAAGTTCCTTGTGAGCTTTCTCAAAGTTTAGCTTGTCCTCATCTTCTGAGGAAAACTCATCTGGTGTACATGGATCTGTCTGAAGGCTAATAGGAACAATCTAGGAAGAAAAATCATAGGAAAAAGCATCATGTAGTCTTATCATATATCCATCAAAAGGCCTGTGATTCATCTTTTCCTATTACTCAATTGTTAGAGAGTTTAGATGGAAGATGGAAAACTTACTATCTGAACTTTCTTTAAATTAATTGCATACTAAAAATCCTTTTCTAGAGCTGGAATAATTCTGACCGTTATCAAAATAGAAACAATTATGGGAAGATGTATATATTTCAGGATTGTGTACATTTCTGTAATTAATTCTCTTATAGGACTGCATTTTTTAAAAACCCTTTATGGATCTGATCCTCTGAAAAACTAGAAAATGGAAAAGATAAATATAAGACATAGATAATATAGCACGAGATGTGGCTGCAAAAAAGGTAAATTCAATTTTAAGTTTCATAAACATAAGTACCACTTCTAAATGGTGAAATCATCCCATTATATTCTGCTTTGATCAGACCTCCACATCAAGTATTGTGTCAAGTTCTAGCTACTACACTTTAGGAAGGATTCAGAGAAAATTGAAAAATGTTCAACTAGGGGCAATGAAGACGGTAGGAGAATAGAAACTGTTATGAAGAGGGATTGAAAGAACTGGGTATGCTTATCCTTCAGAAAAGATAACTGAAGGGAGATGATGACACCCTTCACATATTTAAAAGGATATCTCTCAGAATAGGGTCAAGACTTCATCTCTCTCACTCACTCCATTCTTACTCACTGCAGAATATGAAATAATTCCTGAAGGTATGGGGGGGGGAAGACAACCCAACCCAGACCTGGATTGGAGACAAATAAGAGAGTTTGGACAGCCATCCCTAAAATCTCCCAGGATATATCGGTTAGGGTAAGAGATGTAAGGATTTAGTCTGGCAAGATTCTGTCTACTGCATATAAGCAAATAAAGTCCTGAACTCTAGCTGATTGTTCCATTTAGTTTTGGGATTTAGCTTAACAAAAAAGCTCTATTTTCCAATAAGGTACCATTAGAAGTCTATGCAAGCCTGTATTCTGGGTAACTGACTTTTAACCAAGGGTAAAAGCCTGTATTCTGGGTAACTGACTTGGTAACCAAGCTTACCAAGCCAAAGAGGTAAACAATAGCCCAGGAAATATAAGTGCTCTGTCTATTGTATGTAAGCAAATAAAGAACTGAACTCTGGATTGCTGTGCTGTCGTTCTTGGGTTTAACCTGAGAACAGCCTAGAAACTTTAGCACAAACTTCTGCAGGGAAGTCAAGGTGGCCACTGCAACCATGAGATTGAAGCCTAGCTCCCTTGTATGTGGGTGACACTAACAAAATAGGAGGGAGCTTCAATTGTGTACCCATGCCTGGCAGAATAATGTTTTTGACAGGCCCTCTCCATAAATGCATCTGAACTATAGTCTAATTTTGGTTAATATGACTCACACTATATTCCTTAGATATTACAAAAACACAAACCAAGCCAAATTGGGCTAGACCAAAGTTCAGTATTCTGTTTTTCACCATGGTAAACCAGATTCCCCTGTGGAGGAGGAGGAGGAAGAGAAGGAGGAGGAGACCGAGGGACTAATTCTGTCTTAAGAACAAATGCATACAAGGCCAGAATTGAGAAGACAGCAACAGATAATGAATGCCATCTATGCAAAGAAGCTGAAGATACAGTGGACCACCTGGCAAGTTGCAGCAAGAAGATTGCAAACAAGCAAAGGTAGTAGCAATAGTAATAGGGACCTTGGGTGCAATCCCAAAAACAACAGGAGCACCACTTGAACACCATAGACATTGACAAATTCGCCATCAGTTAATTACAAAAAGCAGCTTTACCCAGAACAGCTCACATCCTGTAAGGATATCTGTAACACTATCAAACCAGAGGTGGTATTCAGCAGGTTCTGACCAGTTCTGTAGAGCCAGTAGCAGAAATTTTGAGTAGTTTGGAGAACCGGCAAATACCACCTCTCACTGCCCCTGCCCCGTCTATTCTCTGCCTCTCAAGTCCCAGCTGATCGGCTGGGTCTTCTTTTGTTGCCCGGCACAGAAGAACGGAGCTGGAAAGCAGGTTAGTGGGGTGGGGAGGGAATGGGATTTTGCAGTAACCTTCCCCCAGGAGGGAATGGAGATTTTACACTATCCTTCCCTTACCATGCCCACCAAGTCACACCCATCAAGCCCACAGAACCAGTAGTAAAAAAAAATTTGAATCCCACCACTGCATCAAACATCCAGATCTGCCCATCCCAGGTCCTTGGAAAGGGCTCAATATGTAGACAAAAATTCCAAACCCAATCTGAATATCTGGCTAACATAATAATAATAAATTTCTTTCTACTATTGTTCCCCAGCTATTAGTAATTTGAAAACAGCATACAGTTACCATGACTTGCAACTATAAGAGCACTAATAACTGCCCAGTATAAGTATGGGCTCTTTTAAATGGGTAGTCTTAAACCAATATATCTGCAGATCTGGAAGCAGGATTATGGGTGGGATTTTTTCCTTCCCTGCATAGTTCCTTACAAATGCACAGACACTATATCACCCGTAATGAATGGCAAGAGTAGAGATTTAGTTCGGAATGCAGCAAATAAGGCAAGTACTAAAATTCTAGTTTATATATAAAGTAGCAGATTCTTTACCTCTGCCTTTTCAAAGCACATTTTAGGAAGCTCCTTTGAGGGTTCCACTGGATTACTAAACATGTCTGGATTGGATTTCCTAGAAGTCTCAACATTTCCATTATTATCTGTTATTAACATTGTTTCTTCCTCTTGCATCCTCAACAATTTCATTTCCTACAAACATCAAGCAACATTTGTTATAATCCCCAAGTTTGCTAGTTGGACTCTGATGGCTTTATTCTATGTATGTGTTTGCATTAATGAAAGTCATCCAAGAATCTGTAAACATGATACTTTTAATTGATTTTCTCAATTAACACCATAAAATAACAACTACTATGAATGGTTGGTGTTCTTGTATAGATTTGGAGTTTTATAAATGTGGCAGTATCAACATTTATCAAGGTCTTTTCACCATGCTTTTTTTAAAAAAACTACTAATTAAGAATATTTCATGCATATGAGAAAGTAGGTCTATTAAGGCATATGCCACAATAAATCTCGTGTTACTAATTTATTACAAAACCATCAATGAGTTTTGAAGACTTTAATTAATAGGTCACATGCAAATTCCATTTCTGTAAAACTGATAATTGTAGACTAAGAAAATCTGAAATTGGTCCCTACAACCACTGAATTCTAATTTTAACTTGATAGAAAGAAAAAATAATTAACTACAGAAGGAATAACAATATTCACTGCAATATTACTTAATATTAGAATGAAATGTGATTGACTATGAATGATAGGATTAAAATTGGATACATCTTTTTTATTTATTTATTTATTTATTTTGTCAAGCAATTATCATCTATCTGGGGGAGGTTGCTTATCACTTCATTTGAGTTTTTTTCAATCCTTTTGAAAAAAAAACCAGGGATAAGTCTGCAGATTTAATACATAAATATGGAGCTGTGGTGGTGCAGTGGTTAGAATGCAGTACTGCAGGCTAACTCACTGCTCACTGTCAGGAGTTCTATTTTGAGCTGCTCAAGGTTGACTCAGCCTTCCATCCTTCTGAGATCGATAAAATGAGGACCCAGATTGTTGCGGAAAACTGCTCAAGAGAGTGCTGTAAAGTATTGTGAAGCGGTATATAAGTTTAAGTGCTATTGAAAATGCAATTGCTCTGTAAATTTAACACTGAACTACTGGCGTTGAGCTTAAACCCAAAGTGATGATATGAAACATTTTATTCCTTCTATTAACTTCTAACCTCACAGTACAGTCAGGTGTTAATATTGTAACAATTCATTGGACTGTAAAGTATGACTTGATCAAATTAGGAAAGTAAAATATTTATGTCCACTCACAAACTTTGTCTTCTTTATAAGCTTAGCCCATTTTCTGTTCAATTTTTTCAATTCTCCAGAAACAGATGATCCCACTTCTGCATTGCTGGATTCAATCAAAAAGTTTCCAGCTTCGTTCAAAGAACCATGCCGTGAATTCCAGGCTGCCAACGTTTCTGGGGAGATCTAAAGGATAATATTAAAATCCATAGGATGTTTATGGGGTCCATAATTTTCAAAACAATATCAGTAACTGGGGAAAAAATAAGCATACCTTCTTAAGATGGTCTTTTCGAGTCTCTTCCAGCCAAGGTTTTAGCAACTGGATGTTCTCCATATAGATGGCCCAAGACGATAAAACTTTTTTCAAGGTATCATTCACATTGTTAATGTACTCTCTGCACTTGGCAATCTGAACTTCTGTCATCTTAAACAATTTGGCTATTTCTTCAGGATCAATTTCTAAAATATTTTAAAATAAATAATATCATTAACCATTTCCACAGTTGTATACAAAGACTTTCTACCTTCCTGGTTCACTTTATACAACCAAGAATTATAAGCAGATTTTACAGATCAGAAATCAATATTGAAAGAGAACTACTTGCACAAGATAAATACATTTGTTACTGGGATGGGACTCAAGCTATATCTAACATGCATTTATAATTCATTTCTTGCAATATGTATGTATGTATGTACGAAGGAATGAATGAAGGAAGGAAGGACTGCAATTAAGTAAATTTGCCATAAGGATCAAGCCTTCATCCTATATTTAATGAAATTGTCTCACTTCATGTTGCCAACCATTCTTTATTAGGCTCCCATAAGATGGAAAACATGTATCCACTAGCAAGGGAATAATAGGTACACAATATATTGTTTGTTCTGTCCCAAATAGTTACCTTAAAGATGAATGAAATCTTACTAATACAGCTTAGTGGGTCATAGGGTACCAGTCCTAGTTAAGCAAAGTCCAGAAACAGGGCATTCAGAAAGCTTGCCAGTGTTTCTTTCTTCCCTATCTTACACCAAACAAAATCATGGTGACATTATTTAGTAATTTTTCCTGAAACTCCTTAAGAATTTAGGAATTTTTGCCATTTTCAAGGCAAGGTGTACATTCCGTTGTTCTTAGGAAGATATATGACCATGGAAATGTCTTCGGACAGCGCTGGCTCTTCGGCTTTGTAACGGAGATGAGCACCACCCCTAGAGCTGGAAACGACTAGCATGTATGTGTGAGGGAACCTTTACCTTTAAATCTATTTTGGTGCTCCACATGTTCCTTTCATGAAATGCTTATTACTAATATAATAAAAATCCCTTCATGCTAAAAACAAGAACACTTGAGAGAAGATGGGGACATTTAGGCCAGACAAGGAATAATGGATGGAAACTGAACAAGGAGAGATTTAACCTGGAAATAAGGAGAAACTTTCTGACAGTGAGAACAATCAACCAATGGAACAGCTTGCCCTCGGAAGTTGTGGGAGCGCCATCAGTTGAGACTTTCAAGAAGAGATTGGACTGCCATTTGTCAGAAATGGTGTAGGGTCTCCCGCTTGGACAGGGGGTTGGACTAGATGACCAGAAGACCAGACTTTCAACTCTGATTATCTGGTTTTTTTTCTTTTTGAAAAGCTGAATTTTTACTTTTCTTTACTTCATCGAGGACAAGGCCAAAGATCTCATAACAGTGTAATAAATGCATCTCCTTGAATGTTCAAGATTCTAGCTATTCCATTAGTTCCTTATACTTCCTTGCTCTGTCTCTATCCAATATTCTTTTATTTCATACCTAACAAACACACATTTTCTTAAAGCTGTTTTCAAGAAGGAAAAGATGTCCTCTGACAGTCCCCCCCCCCCCCCCCCTTTTTTTTTTTTTAATTTATATGCCCTTAAATCTTAAGTTTCTTTAAATGCATTGCTGTAGTTCATGGGTTGTGTGATTCTGGCTCTGTAACAATAATCCTTACAGACCAAGCGCTGAAAATCAAGGGAAGGTTGAAGCCTGGACAGAACCACTGTGATGTTTATGAATTCTTACCCAAATTAGGAGCCTTTATCATTTTATTTTTCTGTGCTTCGCATACTTGTAATGCAGTGTCTAGTTGACCAGGAAAACCTTTTTCTTCAATAAAATTCTGCCCCAAAATAAAATGACATAATTATTTGAGAAATATCTGCCACTGTAGAAAATTAGAAGTAATTCCATTTGAGATTTACATTCTCTGATTTTATGTGGATCAGATGAAATGGAAACAAAGTAAGGGTTTAATCTGCTGAGGTGGAGGAGGGTGAGAAATAATTTTAATAATTAAAATGTCCATGAGGATAACATGATGAAAGAAACAAAAACAAAAAACAAAAAAACCCTCATCCAGCATAGTTTGTACCAGGCATGAACTTTGAAATATGTGATAGGCCTGGAACACATGATCTCAATTGAAATAAATTAATTCAAAGCTCTATTAACAAACAGCTTTTAAAAACAACAGGACTTTATACAGACAGTTCAAGAGTGAATAGTGTTCTCTGCCTCTCAAACCACCAACAACACTGTCAAGGTTTAGACCTTACAACATTTGGCAAGTCTTCCTACTTGGAGAAACAAATCATGTTTTTTTCCTCAGGCCTTTTATTAAATGTTTGTAGATTTACACTGACATCTGCTGGATGTTTGTATAAGAAGAATTAAAATCGATAAGATGAGAATTTCTGGTGCAACAAAGCTGTTTTTAAAATGGGAAAGAGATAGCTGAAACCTTCGATGATAAAAAAAACAAGCAATTCAAAAGCTGTTGACTTGAAAAGGCAGGAGGAAGGAACTCAGTATTTAACCCTTAGACCAGTTCATACACATATAGGGCTGGATTTCTGTATACTGCTCGATGCTGAACTGCTTTGTTCATATGGGTTTGCAGCACTCTGCAATGAATGTACTTATCATAACTTATTTGATCTTGATGGGGGATGCATTGCTGAGAAGGAGTTTGTCATACCTATACAAAGCCTTGACAAAATATATATTACTTATTTACACCCGCAGCTAAGATATGGCACTTTTAACATGCTAAATCCATAATGCGTATTTGGATGAAAATTACTTGCTTAGAGTAGCCAGATGGGTGTAGTGGTTAAAGTGCTGGCCAAGAAACCAGGAGACTGTGAGTTTTAGTCCTGCCATATGCATGAAAACCAGCTGGGTAACTTTGGGCCAATCATTCTTTCTCTCAGCCCAACCCATATCACAGGGTTGTTGTTGTTGTAGGGAAAATAGGAGGAGGAGGAAATATTATTTATGTTCACTGCCTTGAGTTAATTATAAAAGTAGTAAAGGTAGGATAAAATATTTAATAAAAAATAAAACTAAAATGAATAAATAGTATGAACATATTGGTATGGGTGCCTTTGATTCAACTTTTTAGTCTCTTCTGCATAGCTATCCAAGAAGCAACTATAATGCTTACATGCCAATCTAATTGCAATAACTCCACAGTCTCCTTGGTTCCAAACTTGATGTGCCAGATGTTCAGTTTAGATGTCAGTTCGCTGAAGACAGCTGAGCTGGATGAGCAGTAGTATTCCACAATAATGCTGAAATTTTCAAGCTGAACTTTGCTGAACCTGAAAATAAATCCAACATCTTGTCTATAAAATGTAAGACAAAACCAATGAGCCTGATCTGCACTCCATAAGGCATGCTGTGACCTAGAAAAATGCACAGCTTTTTACTGGCTAAATAAGTTGTTCTGTCTTTATTACCAACCAATTTACAGATGTGTTAGGTTGACCCAGGAACAGGAAATGCTGTGATCTGATCATGGTGGTGCAAGAATGATAGAATAAATTAGATGCATCTGAAGAGCAGAAGAAAAGTGCTTCAATTGCTGGAGGGCCTAAAGACTTTAATTACTACATGAAGTCTTGGAGGACTTTAAAAGACCCCTGGCAATTAATAGAAGCAAAATTGAACCAGATGGATCAACAGTCTGATTCAGAATTAAATAGCTTCATACATTTATAAACTGGATACAAAAATATGAATGATGAAAGTCAGAAAATTTCCAGAAACAAAGAATGTAAGAAGAGCTGTGTTGAATCAGGCCTGTGACCCATCTACATTTTGCTTTCTATTAGCTGGATTTGCACAAAGTACAGATACTTAAACAGATCATTTAGAGAACCATTGTTTTCTATATTTACACACATTCCTGGTGAGCTTCATTTGTCTTAATCTTAGTTAATTAGTTTTAACTTTGTTTGGTGAAAATTCAGACTATTGGATTGGTTTATATTACAATACCTTATATGAATCCACCCCCAAAACAAGTAAATATGTTATACCAATTCAGCCACTGCAGTGCTTTCAGAGAAACCACAAACTAGGCTTGAATTGATCATGGGGAGAATAAGACCACACAACTTGCCTACAAGGAAAATCAGGTCCTGGGATTGAATAAATTCCCTAATCCAGTGAATACATCACATCTGGAGGATATCAGGTTGTGCGAAATGCATACAGTATGTATGTCAATAAGAGCAGCAGAGATGCCCACCATCAGTCTTGCAATTAGGGTATTAAATTTGATAAGAACACAATTATATTTAGCTGAATGAAACAATCAAAGGAGAAATTTGACATCACAAACCTTTTTCTCATTTCTTCCAGCTTCTGAGGTGGAACTACCAGCATTCCAGCATTATCTCTATTGTCAAAGGACTGGAGGGTTTCCAAATGTTGTTGAAAACTTTCCATCAAATTCTAAAAACAGAAGCACTATTCACAAATGTCTTATAATTAATTGATCTATATATGCATTTATTTTTCTAGCAATAGGACAGAAGAGCAATAAGGCTAATAAATTTCTCAAAGAAAAATATTGAATAATTATGCACTAGTTTACAGAATGATTATAACGATGGTTCCTGAAATATTGCATCTTTCTTTAAAGAGCTGACAGTATTGTTACTGAGCAATATGAGGTTGCATGGCTGAATATTACATTTTTTTTTTATTTTACCTTATTTTATTTTACACCCCAGGATATATTATCAGCTGCTGTAATTTTGGGGCAGCTGCCAAAAGCCCCCAAACCCAGCAGAGCCCACTGATGTTGCCTGGTGAGTATGACTGGGATTGTATTTGCTCAAAGAGATATTATTCAGAGCAATACTAGAGTTGGTCGCCCTTTACATTTTCCACTCAATAGAACTAAAAGGCTGAATGAAGTCATTGTTTAAATGTCTTACAAAGCCCGATCCAGCATAAAGAATGTGGGAAATGTCAAGAGTTTTGGCTTATCTCAAAATGTGACTTCAACCAATCATTTGAAAAGCAACCCCAAATCTATCAAAGCCATGCAACACATCCTAAAAGTGTATATAAAAGTGTAGAAGATTAATTCCAATAGAAATGCATGCTTATTTAAACTGAAGTTACCCTGATTTGTCTTATTCATTTATTAAATTTATATACCACCTATTTCACTCCCTCGGGTGAATATAGGCAGCTTACAAAAATGTGTAAGTTGGATTTACTTGATTGTTTAGATTCTTATCATACAGTGAACCAAATGTAAGCTTGTGGTCCTTTTTTCCTCAATATTGTTCACGGTTCCCCAAATAGGAGAATAGGAAAAAGGCACTGATGATTGTATTACAGTGCTAACAGTGCTGCAAACAACAGTAAATGCCATGATGGTTGCTTTAAGCAAGGCAAGTATATAAGAGGATGATATATTTTACTAACACATATTAGTAAAAGGAATTTTGCTTGGTGGGGTCCAGGAAAAGAGCCTTCTCTTCTCTGGCTCTTGCCTCCAGAACATCTTATCCCCTGAGGACAGATTGGCTCCCACCCTCCTGATTTTTCAAAAAAAGTCTTAAGATCTGGTTCTGCCAGATGGCTTGGGGACCCAATGGGAAAGTTTTATACTTGAGGTGGTTGATTAATTAAAAGCTAATCCCTCTTCCCCTTCCCCTGCCATATATCCAGCTCCCTCCTTTTCCATCTTGTGTTAATGATTTTATTTGGTCTGTTGTGTCATTTTATGTTCAACGATATATTCAATTTAATGTTTTTCAATGTTTATTATGCTGTAAGTGGCCCACAAGGTGGGAGGCAATAAATATTTTACTTTACTTAACCAACCTGTACAGCTCTTAATTTTTCTTCAAGGGCAGCTGTTGCTTTCAAATGATCTTGAGAAATGGGTATGTTGTGTACCAGATGCTGCTCTGTTTCTTTCAGCCAAGCCTCAATGGCATCCAGAGGTGGAGGTAACATATTGTCCAGCTTTGCTTTCCATTCATTCATCTAGACAAATAAACAGAGAAATGCCATTCATGTTGGTTCTTCAACTATTCATACTTTATATCACAAAAATATACCAGCACATTGCTTAATCAAAATAGAGCTGGAAGGAACCTTGAAGGTCTTCTAATCCAAGCCCCTGCTTAAGCAAGAGACAGAGAAGAGCAACCAGGATGATTAGGGGACTGGAGACTAAAACATATGAAGAATGGTTACAGGAACTGGGCATGGCTAGTCTAGTAAAGAGAAGGACCAGGGGAGACATGATAGCAGTTTTCCAATATTTGAAGGGCTGCAGCAGAGACGAAGGGGTCAAGCTATTTTCTAAAGCACCCAAAGGCCAGACAAGGAATAATGGATGGAAACTGAACAAGGAGATATTTAACATGGAAATAAGGAGAAACTTTCTGACAGTGAGAACAAGCAACCAATGGAACAGCTTGCCCTTGGAAGTTGTGGAAGCTTCATCACTTGAGACTTTCAAGAAGAGACTGGACTGCCATCTGTCAGAAATGGTGTAGGGTCTCCTGCTTGGGCAGGGAATTGGACTAGATGACCTACAAGGTCCCTTCCAACTGTGATTATCTGTTATCTGTTACCTTATCCATTTCAGACAAGTGGCTGTCCAGTCTGTTCTTAAAAACCCTCCAGCGATGAACCACCCAAAACTTCTGAAGTTTCTCCTTCAACTATGCATACTTTATGTCACCAAAATGTGCCAATATATTAGAGTCATTGTTCTGTTTGTGCAGATAAGTTATCCTTCTGACAGGCAAAATATTCTATTGCTCCCATCTTTGCTTCATATTTGTAAGGCAGGAAATGTGTTCTCATGGAAGCCATATATTCAAATGCATGAACAAGAAACCCTTTACAACAAAATAAATGCAAATTCCTGTAAACATCCTAATGACCTGATGTGATAGGTTATCCCATGCCTCCTTCATCTCTGAGTAATCTTCATTCAGCTCTGACCCTTTTCTTTTAGATTCCAGGATGGGAAGGAAGGGTTTTTTTTCTTCATTAAATGCTTCTGTAAATGATAGCATTGCCTAAGGATTTAAATTGATATTTAAAAGTGTAAGTGCATCAATATGTTCAGTGTCAGACACTTAAAAGAACTAGGGACATTAAGAGGATCATCAATGGTTATAAAACATAATATTTAAATGGAACTGGATACAAGGGTAGTTTATCTCCGAATAATGGCGGCTCAAGTGAACAACATAATATTTACATAATGAACTTAGTCTGGTTATATCATTTACATAGTTTCTACAACTGGGATTAGACAGCTTATACATTTAATAAATAATAATTTGCACACAAGAATTATATGCAAAATGAAGTAGATTCAAATAACAGCCTATTGCACAAAAACTAACCAAGCTTAAAATTACTCACATGTTGTTTTAATACCTGTATTAAAACAGATAATCCTTGTCAACGCGACCACAATCCTTTGACCAAAATTTCTATTGCTAAGCAAGACAATTATTAAGTGAGTTTTGCCCCATTTTACAACATTTCTTGCCACAGCTGTTAAGTGAAATACTGCAGTTGTTAACATCACTTTTTTTTCAGAGGCAATGCAACTTTGAATGGTCACAAAATGAATGGTTATAAATCGAGGACTACCTGTGTTAGATTTTAAGGTACTTTGATAAATCATGTTGCATAAACACAACCCATGTCTATCTGTTCCGCTTGGCCATTATTGGAACAGAAAACTAAGCAACAACATTTCAGTCTGATTCTTCTCAGTAGTCTGGATCTTTATCATCAACTTCCTGAGTGATAGGTAAACTCTTTATACCATGTCTTATTTTGTTTTAATATTTTCATGAAATTATGTTTGGCTTCTTCAATAACACCAGCGATGTAGCAGCTAACATATTCGTGGATCAACTTTGGCAATGTATTTACCTTGGCCTTTGCTAAGGCTGATGCATTCTTTATGGGGCCTCAATCAGAGTTTGCTAAATGCAACCGTTACTAAAAAGAGCATAGAAAGCAAAATCCAAAATCTTGATTTCATTAAAGGATACAAAAAGGGCTCAATTGTTACTATTTCATATTTCTTGTCATATAATGTATCCTCCAAAGGATACATTTACAAAGTTACTTACTTCAAACTTCCTGTAGAAGGATGCATTCTCTAGCTCAGTCAGCAACTTTGTTAACTTGCATTCCTGTGCATTGAGCCAGCTCAAAGTCTCTTTGATTTTTTCCTGGAAAACAGAACAAAAAATGTATATACTTGTACATATATTCCTGTTTGCATTGTTACAGAAAAATAGTGCTTTGTTACTCTATTCCCAGAGAGTTTGCCCTTGATTGACTGTATTGCAAACAACTGTAAAATAATATTTGCTTCTAATTCATATGACTTCTTAGTTTGGGCAAGTCATTTGACCTCAAATATTGAGTGTTTAGAGCATAATTCAGCATTATCTATGACTGAGACTTCTATGCTTCAACCAAAAAACATGGTTAAAATAAACCACTTTTTAGCATGTGATACAGTGTCTAGAATATATCAATCTCGCTGTATTCACATATTGCACTACAGCTATAGCAATAGCACTTATATTCCACCCCACAATGCTTCACAGCACTCTCTGGGTAGTTTACAAAGTCAGCATGTTGCCCCCAATCTGGGTCCTCATTTTACTGACTTCGGAAGAATAGAAGTCTGAATGAACCTCAAGCCCCATAAGGATTGAACTCCAAACTGTGGGCAGAATTTGCCTGCAATGCTGCATTCTAACCACTGTTCCTAACCACCCAGGCTCCTAAGCCATCATATGAACTATTTGTATTAATTTAGTGTAATGTATGAACCAAATCATTATCACATTACCACATATTACTTGTTTTAATAAACCATGCTTTTAAAAAATTGATCTAGCATTATAAATGTAACAAGATCAAAATCTTAAGCAACATTAATTATCAGTGAAACCAGCTGCAGGTCTAATCAAATTCTGAAAAATAAAATTTATCATGATATGGATTTTCTACAAAAAAAAAACAATCATAGAAAAAGTTGGAAAAAAACAGGATGCAAAAAAATTATAAAACATGTTCTAAAGCTTTAGATGTCACATACTGTACCTGCATTCTATCTTCAGCCACAGGTAAACTTTTAAAATACTGGAGAAACTGAGCCACATAAGTCATGATGGATTTTTCATCTGGACTGATGACATCAACATCTGTGGAACGTTAAGAGCTTTGAATATATTCCAAAGTACAAACTTCTAATAATACATTGCACTGCTGTCCAGAAAACCAATCCACTATTTATATTACTGATTAGATCTGCATTGCCCATAATTGTATTAGTGTTGGGTTTCAAAATTGTATAGTCCACACATAAATTTTGCTGGATTTCAGCTCAGCATGATTTATGAACCATTCATTCTAGTTTAATGTTATGTATAAATTAGACCAATATAACAACAAAAAGTATTGTTATGTGACAACACAAGCAATTACAGGGATAGGATAGGATAGGATAGGATAGGATAGGATAGGATAGGATAGGATAGGATAGGATAACAGGGTTGGAAGGGACCTTGGCAGTCTTCTAGTCCAGCCCACTGCCTAGGCAGGAAACCCTACACCACTTTTGACAAATGGTTATCCAACATCTTTTTAAAAACTTCCAGTGTTGTATTCACCTTTATATTTTCTAGTGGGAAATTATGTTATCAGCCCTTCCTTTTGCATAGCAAATAGAGAAGGAAATCATGGGACAAATACTTCTGGACCCCTAGCAAGAATGAAATGCTTTCCCATCTCTGAGTGGGAAATCTCTGCCATCCAATATATGTCAACTCCCAATATCAAAGTAATTCAGAATCTCCAAGAAGAAGCTTCCAAAAATTTTAGGTGTGGACCAGCTTGCTACTTTTGGAAATGCAGCTATCAGCCTGAATAAGGTTCTGGGGGGTGGGGGGATAAATTATTCACTATGTCTAAATAATTTGTTCACAATAAATCTAAATCCAATCCAGAAGAACCCAGTGAAGAACCCTCATGGCTGAAGAGGTTGCAGAGTTCAACTACACTCCCTTGCCCTCTTAAGTAGAACTTGAGAACTTCAGAATTAGACCATCCTGGGGTAAACAGATCTATGGTTCAACCTAAAATAACTCCATATATTTGTATTTATCTTAAAAACAATCAAAAGGATTATATGCTTTTGTATTTTGTGTTTTCTATGCTTGATAGTGATATTGAAGAAAATTGCAAAGCACATTTGATTATATATCTCTGTCACTGCCACTTTTAATATCCATAATGTTGATTTTCCTTAATAGTCGTGCCATTTTATCTGTTCCAATCCAATATTATTAATAATAATCTAATATTAAGGCCAAGGAAACCAAAATTGGTAGAATAAATCAGCACAGCTGGGATTGATGATGCTCAAAACTCAACACCAAGCAGATTGAAGCTCAAGTGCATGTAAAATCTATGAGTTACCTTCAGGTTCAAGCAGCCGAGGTATACTGAGTTCCTTCTCTGCTACTTGGAACGCCTCTCTCAGATTCTCCTTGTTTGATCTCTCTTTTGCTTTCTCCACATCAACCAAGCCTGGCCTTAATGCATGAATGATGGCTAAGAAAGCCAATCCATTCCTCCAACTGGATTTGAAATCTGCAACGTTGATAGACCCATGCCTATGATCAAAAGCATTTTAAAAACACACAAAATTAAAGAAGGGGAGAAATATTATGCTGGAGAAGAAAATAAAAATTTGCATACCAACCTGTCCCCTCATTCTGATTTTAAAACTAGCTATAATCCTTTTGCCCTTATCTTAAAGACCAAAGTAAAGAAGTTCTGTTAACAAATGAATGGATAGGTTTTTCTAAAGAAAATAAAATAGAAAATGTGGGAGGTTTTTTATAGTTTGCCCTGACTTTCAATATAAACTCTCTGGGAAAGTTAAGAGGAAGAGTGGTTCTTTTCCATGGCATAATAAACGGATTACTAACATAATTTGAATATATTTTGAAAGAAACTTTACACCATTTGTTCCTTAAACCACACTTTCTTTCTATGCAGTTCAACCAGATGAATGGTGACCAAACAACTTAAACTGAAAATAAGCAAGGAAGGAATGTACTTGTATCAGATAGATTTCTTGTCTAATTTCATATATTAATCCTAACCAATTGAAATAAAAGTTGTTCACTTAGAAGAATAACTGAATTACTTGCAAAATGGGAAATCAGTTGTGTTCTGTCTGCATAACAGAACCACAAAGACACTCTGCAAATACTACCTTCACTTCCTAAGCCCACTTAGCCCAACAATCCCATAGAATCATAGTTATGGGCACTCTCCCTACCCTATATATAATTTCCATCACAAGCAGAATACAGACTTGAAACTAAGAAAGCTCCACACAGATAGAGAATAGGCTGCATTTAGGTGCAACCTAATAGGTGTTTCCTGCGTGCAGAGAGATGAAATGGCTCATTGAAGCCCTGACATCATTTGCTGAACTTAACTGGAAGAGCTTCAGATGTGCACAGAGGGAAGTAGGAAATCAGCTTGCCATTTGTTTCAGCATAACTTACCCAACTCTTTTGATCTCCTGGGCAGAGTCCCAACAGCTATTAACAGTTTCATTACTATGCAAGAGTTTGGAAGGACAGCACCAACCTCTCAAAAAAGTTTTGTTTACAATGCTATAACACCAACCTCTAATTACCTCCCTCAACTCATCCTGCATTCATTATAAAGTCAAGCTGCATTCTATCCATCTGTTTATATTATGCACTCATAATGAATTTATTCAGTCCAGTCTTCCTCAACTAATGTATAGCAGATGTTTCAGACTCTGCCTCCCATAAATTCCAAGTAGTTGTAATGGGCAGAGATTTTATTGGAGTTGTTGTCCAAAACATCTGGAAGGAATCAGGAAAGCCTCACATAATCTTTATTTAAAGTCACCTGTAGTAAACTACATTTATTCCTTGCAAACTCTGAATTAGACCCTGCTATATTGCAGCTTTCTAATGTTAGTCCAGTTTATAATATGCAACACAAAGAAACACCTCTTTCTCTTCTTCTGTTGCTATTCCTTATTTCCATCTATCTCTCTTTTCCTCTACATTTTTAATTTAGATTTAGCATTGAGTCATGCAATATGGCTTTATTAAGTGTTAAATACCCAGGTATTGTTACATTTTGTACTGTAAACTTTCCATGAAGAAAGAGCAGCTGAAAAATACATCTCAATGTGCTTGTTGAAGTTCATCTTTTAAATACTATCTTATGCATTTAGAGGTCTTTGAAGGATACAATTTTGGGGAATACTGACACAAATTGGCTTAAGACTAATATGCTGATATAGATGTAGCTGCTTCTTAGAGCTGCATTTGTCTGCAATTACCCTATAGCTCAAACTTTAAAATAAGCAAATAAATGTGGAAATGGGACACAACAGATTTATAACTGCTGATTTTCCTATCCTGACATACTTGTCACACTGTTCCTTAGCCCATAGCAGGACAGCCTTCTTCGCTGATATCTTCCATCGTTCCTTTGCTTTGACATTAGTTCTAGCTGTTGGGCTCATTGCTGGTGATAAATCCACAGTGCTTGGACTGTCCAAAGATGAATGGCTGTATCCACAAGAAAGAGCCTTGGCTAATTCTTCAATCTATCCATGCACATAGAAAGAGAGAAAAAACGCATTTGAAAATGTCTGACTGTACCTAAAAGAAAAAGTTAGCTCAAATGGCTGGTTTTGATATGATCTGCTCCTCATATAACAGCCAGAAAAACCATGCAGAAAAAAAGACTACCAAAAAAAAAATCTAGTTAGCCATGATTTTGACAAGACATATTTTTCATGCAGGATTTGGCTTTTCTATCACATTAAATAAGTATAGTCACCCAATACATTGAGCTTGGTATTCTCCTAGGAATTATTCTATCTCAACACTATGCATCTGAGTTGAAAAAAATATGTAACTAATTGTTCAATATTTTCCTTATCAATCATATGGAGGAAAACAAGTAACAGCAATAATATTTCAATTTCAATTTGTACTAGCCATGATAAAATAGGATAAATAACTTGAAAAATTATTGAACATTGCCAAAAGATCATAAAACTCTAGAAAAATTATCATAATTTTACATTACAATTTGTATGTTTGAAAATAGTTTCCTGGTTTAGCCATGGTAGAAGAAGCAGAACTGACAAAGTCAGTACTGTATTGAAATTGTGGGACAACCGCCAACTGGAACTTTGAAAAAAATGAAAAACTTTTCTCTTTATGTTGATTAATACTTACATGAAAATGCAATATAATGATCCATATGAGACCAAGCACGATGGATGGTTTTCCTTCTATGATATCAGCAACATGGATGTTTATAAGTTTCAGCTGGGGAAAAAGGAAGATTTATTGTTTTGATAAACAGGAAGATACTACTAGCTCCAGATGTGCTGAGATTATTTCCCGAAGTTCCTAGTCAACTGAAAAATTCTTAGAGTTACAATCCCAGGACATTTGGAGGACACCCATAGGAAAGACGGGCTTGTGTTACAAATCTGCAATGTTTAGTATATGATTTTTATAATAACAATCTTGATCCAATGTTAGAGGTGGAACAAACTGCAATAGTGTAGAAAGAAAATAAGCTTGCTTTAAGATAAGAACACAGTGCCCCAAATCCAACTCTTGATGGACACAAATATCTGCTTCTCTTCCCTGGAAAAGTAACAACTAACTTGCTCAATTGTGATTCAGGCACCAAAAAAGGAGTACCATGTGTGCTTATTGCAAAAAGAAGATACAATAAAAGTACAAGATATGCAAATATCAGAGAGACCTAGCAGTCAATCTGGATGTCCTTCACATGTTGGAAAATGTTCTTATATAGCTGAGATCTGTAACTAATTTTGTAGTGAAATTGCTGGAAATCAACACTGAACAATTCATTTAATAATTATTTTAATGCTTTAGCAACTAAGTAAATTCAGGCTGCTTTCAAAGCCAGAATACTAACTGATCTATTCTTCAGGAAGGTTAAGGCATTTTCAATGTTGCTTCTGCGTTGGAAAGTGTTCGATCCCTTTTCACGTGACTATAAAATATAAAGAAACAGAAAAGAACAGTTTGATCCTTATCAACAGTAACAATGTTTTATTATTTGTACATATATATTCTTGATTGCAATCTTACAAGGCAAACCGACAATAAAAATAGGACAATTCAAGGATGTAGCAACAATTGATTATATTTGCAGATGGCTGTGATCTGAAGTTGTTTTCTACTTTGATTCTGTCCTCTTATATGCTGCTACCACTGTTCTTGTAAATATTGCAGGAATATCTATGTATGTGTAATGCTTTACAAAGAGTGAAAGTAAAATTCACTGCCCCAAAGGGTTTTACCCTTTTCAATGAGTTATAGAGAGGCAATGCGGGGGAGAGGGAGGAAATAGATACATAAGGAAAAAGAAGCACATGTTCTGAGATAATTATCACCCTAAACCCTTTTGGCACAAAATAGCTTGTATTTTGAAAAATAATACTAACACAGAATCTTAGAAATAAACTGTGTTTAATAGAGTGGCACATTTTATCCATTTTGCCTAATTTGCTTTTGTGATTCAGATTCTTCAACTAGTCACATAGAGGTATATCTTTGCAGGAGACAGTTTGGTCTAGTGGTTAAGGCATGAAGCTAGAAACAGGATACCACTGTGTGTTCAAGTCCTGCCTTAGCCATGAAAGCCAACTGGGTGATCTTGAGTGACTGTCTCTCAGCCCAACTCAATGCAGCAGGGTTACTGTTGTGGGGAAAATAGGAGGAATGTGTGTTGGATATGTTTGATGTCTTCAGTTTTTTATAAAAAAAGTATAGAGGCTGGATAAAAATAAAATAAATAAATAATAAACGAAGGGTTTAGGAAATGCATCTATATTTTTCTTAGCTGAGAAACGTGGGCTATTTGATTAACTGACTGAGAAACTTGAGAACTACATGTACAAAGCCTTTCTATGAATTCTTGTGGTTGAATTATTCATAATACTCTTACCAATTGTTGTCCGGAAAGGACCTCCAGTAGATCCAAAAGCACATGTCCCTCCCCAATGTCTGAATACAAGTCCAAGATAAGAGAAGGTGATGGATGCTGCAGAATAATTATTTATATTCGGTTATATATTCTATAGTGGTTTTAGTATGCATTACAACAAGACCATATGCATAATTGAATACATATTTTGCTTTTTCTTCTGGACCCAAGGGGCTCTTCTGCAAATAGCACCTCGGTGTGTTAGTCTCTGGGTCATCGTAAAAACCCGCCAGTTATTGTCATACTGTCAATTAGAGGTTAAGCGACACTTTCTTGCTAGGCTTCCTATTCCATGAGATTTTAGTACTTTAAAAAATATTTTAATTAGTAGTACTAATAATGATATTAAAGATTCTGCCAATTTGAAAACCAAAGCATCAGTCTCTAGCATCATCTCTTTTTTTATATATTTCTAAATCAATTTGTAAATAGGCATTCTTAGAAAATAAGATGGTGGGGGATTGTCCTTTCCCTACCCTTCAAAAGACAAAGCTACTGTAAACTGCTGAAATACGGATCATCCTGAGAGACCACAAGGAATGTTTGGGAGCAATATTCACCAGACTGATAAGTGGGCATTTTGTGACCACAAGTCTTAAAGTTTCCAAGTTTGGAGGCCTCTGGTCTAAGTGGTAAAAGATGACCAATTAAGCCAATAAATCCACAATAAATTGGTTTAACTAACAGGTCTGACCTTTTTTTTTTTTTTTACACGTTCTATGGCCATTAATTCAGGCATTTCACCAAGTTTTGATACTTGCTGTAAACACTTAGTTTCTATATAATTTTCCTACTGAGATTCAAATATTTAATAAGACAAAAGGGACTGAAACATTTATTATACTTTACATATATTTTAGAAAAGATATTCTACAGCATCACCATGCCATTACCTTTTCTAGTTGTGAGTTCACCCAGCTTGTGAAAGTTCTTTTTTGAATGTCTTCTTGCTTAGCTATTTTGTAAAATAAAAACAAAAATAAAGGTTATAAATATACCATATTTTTCAGAATATAAGACTCTCCGAAGTATAAAATGCACCTAACTTTTGGGGAGGAAAACAAGAAAAGAAAATCTGTCTCTGCCTCCCAGCAATTTGCCTCCTTGCAGCAAGGAGCCTGCTCAGCTTCAGCACAGCCTGATTAGCACAAGCAGCTGATTGTTGGTTGGAAAGGCCTCCCGATGAGCAGTTGTTTCAGGCTGCAGGGATTGCCATCGCCTATTGCCGCCTCCACATGCTCCATTTTTGGCCTCCACATCCCATTTTTCACCTCCGTGTAGCCCATTTTCAGCCTCCATGTCTCCCATTTTCCGCCCATTCTAGGTGGAGGAAAATGAGGTGCACAGAGGCCAAAAATGGGGGATGCGGAGGCGGCAATAAGTGATGGCAATCCCTCTAGCCTGAAACAGCTGATCGTCAGGAGGCTGATCCAACCAACAATCAGCTGCTTGTGCTAATCAGGCTGTGCTGACACTGAAACAGGCTGTTTGCTGTTTGCTGCAAGGAGGCAAATTGCTGGGAAGCAAAGGCCAAGGGGTGGGGGCTGGAGGATGGGCGGGGCTTCAACAACATTCAATGTATAAGATGCACAGACATTTCAACTCACTTTTGGGGGTGGAAAAAGTCTGTCTTATACTCCGAAAAATACAATATTTACTACTCTTAATGCTTATTTTGTTTATGAATGAAAACAAGATGTATAAAACACTTTTAGATAACCAGGTTGTCATTTGTGGAATGGGGGGGAATCAGTGCTCCCACAGATGTTGAATATATGCAATTCTATGAAAACTACTATGAGAGATGCGGACTTTAAAGTTAGACAAGAATTACAATTCTTGAGAATGCATTGTTTGCAATGGTGCAGATCTATGCCCCATGGTTTATATATGTTTTGAAACACTCTATAAACTCTAATTGTCAGGGGGGAAAAAATACATACATTAATTATTTTGACATCAACTTCAATCCATTTTTAAAAGCTATATGCTATTTTAGCCTTCTCCAGTCTGCCGTTGTCCAAGGATTTGAGCTCCAGCTTTGGGAAAGTCTATTTAAAGGTCCCATTTAAATATCTACATTTAGAAATAGCACTTAGACTTATATATCACTTCACAGTGCTTTTCAGCTCTCTCTAGGGCAAGGGTCTTTAAACTTGGCAAGTTTAGGACTTGTGGACTTCAACTCCCAGAATTCATGAGCAAACATGACTGAAGGAGGAATTCTGGGAGTTGAAGTCCACAAGCCTTAAAGCTGTCAAGTTTGAAGACCCCTGCTCTAAGAGTTTTAGTTTAAAAACTGAAAACATCAAGAAAAAGAAAGTCCTTCAAATAGCATCTCTCCATTCAAGCCTCTGAAAAGCAAGCACAGCATGCGTACATATCGTCCGGCTACAGCATACTATTTATTTAAATAGAGAACCCGTTTAGTGTTGTGGTTAAGGCAGCAGACTAGAGACTATAAATTCTAGTCCTGCCTTAGGCACAAATCTAGTTGGGTGACTTGGGCTAGTTGCTCTCTCTTAGGCCTAAGAAGAAGGCAATGGCAAACCACTTCCAAAATCTTGTCCAGGCAATCTCCAGGAATAACAAACTGACTTGAAATCAACTCCCACCCACAAAAAAAATATCAAGATATAACAGCAAGTACAGACTCTATGAATATTAATATCTTTTTCTTGTTGATAAGTGGCCATATGATTTGAACCCTATTCTCCAGAGCAAAAAACAAATGTATCATATAACATATGTGACAATATTTCAAATGCATGGAAATAATGACTCGATTGCCTCTGCGTATTACTTCACCAAGCTAAAAATATTCAAATTCATACACAGGATTCTTTGCAGGGGCATGTTTATTTATTTTATTTTTATTTATTTATTTATATTTGTCAATTGCTTACAAGATAATAGGTATAAGTAAAAACATAGTTATGAATACATGGATACATATAAGAAAAATAAAAAATATATAAAAGAAACAATAGGACAGGGACGGTAGGCACGTTGCTGTGCTTATGCACGCCCCCTACAGACCTCTTAGGAAAGGAGTGAGGTCAATAGTAGACAGTCTACGGTTAAAGTTTTTGGGGTTTGGGGAAAAAACCACAGAGTCAGGTAGAGTATTCCAGACACTGACCACTCTGTTGCTGAAGTCGTATTTCCTGCAATCAAGTTTGGTGCGATTAACCTTGAATTTGTATCTATTGTTTGCTCTTGTGTTGTTATGGTCGAAGCTGATTCATTGACAGGTAGGACATTGCAATGTATGATTTTATATACTATACTTAAATCAAACCGAAGGCGGCGTAGTTCTAGGTTTTCTAGGTCTAGAATTTCGAGTCTGGTGGCATAAGGTATTCTGCAACGAGTAGAGAAGTGGAGAACTCTTCTTGTGAAATATTTCTGGACTTTTTCAACTGTGTTAATATCAGATATGTAATGTGGGTTCCAGACTGATGAGCTGTATTCGAGTATTGGTCTAGCAAATGTTTTGTATGCTCTAGTTATTAGTGTAATATTACCAGAGAAAAAGCTACGTAAGATTAGGTTAACAACTCTTAATGCCTTTTTGGCTATGTAGTTACAATGGGCTCTAGCACTTAGATCATTAGAGATGAGTACTCCAAGATCCTTGACAGAGTTTGGATCATCAAATGTGTACAATTTCAGTGGAAAAATGAAAGGGAGAGGTTTCTTTATATTTGGCTTAATGGTATTCTCCCCATGTACAGTGTTTTTAAACAACAATCTTAGCCTTGCATCACATTGAGTTATATTCTTTATTAGTGCCTTGACTTGGTGCTCAGTGAGGCTGCAACTTAATCAAGCACATGTGCTCTGGAGTTCTAAAGATTGCAGAGAAAACAAAACATCTATTGAACTGCAGGTGCTATGCTGTGAACTGATACTGACTAGAAGAAAAAGAACCTGGAATTTAGCATCTCTAGAATCTGAGTGGAAAATTAGAGATATCTAGAAGTGCAGACACAGTAGGCCAGAGCCGTTAAAATTCCTGGCCCATGGGCCGAATGCAATTTCCTTTCCCAACAATCTAAGAAATGCTCTCCCAGATACAGATACTGTGGTGAATTAAAGAGCAATTTACTTCTACTTTGCCTCAAAGGTGCTTTTTCAAAAGGCAACTGGACTATGTTTTTTCCTTGAGTAAGACCTTTTGCTTCTCATTCAAGAAGCTTCATCAATTCTGACTGTGCTAACTCAGTGGTAGTGACCAGATGACTGCAAAGAAACATGATCCTTCCATTCCCCTCCCCCCCTCGCCATCCAGTCACAATTGATTAACCTTATTGGATGAGAAACAAAATGTCTTCTTCCTCAAGGGGAAAAATAAAGTTCAGCTGCCTTTTGAAAAAAGCACCTTTGAGACAACCATGACTTGGATGACTAAGAATATCCATACACACTCCTACTTTCTACTTTCAAAAATATACTTTTCTTAGAAAAAATGCTACCTTATATCACCAGCTTATATTAAAATCCCTGTTTACAATGAGAAATACTCACACTGTACTTCATGAGTAAGGAAGGTTTTTTTTTACTTTGAATACCTTTTTAAAATGCTTTGCTAGCAAGATATTTTTCAACACCATGACTCAAGGCAGCATTAAGTTTGCATTTAATTTACATTTCACCAGTATTTGTTATGCAAAGAGTCACAAGGGATTATCTTGTTCCTCATTCAAAATAAGGATTAAATCATTAGCATAGGCATTTTCCACAAGAAATCTAATATTTTCAAAACCATTGCAAACACAATTAGACAAACTACAAACATTGTGTGCCCCTTGTGCTAACACTGTATCAGTCCTCCCAAGAAAACCAGACAGGAAATAGGCCGAGATGAATTAATTCTATTTTATTGTAAGGCTATATTAGTCTTGCAAGTCTGAAGCTGCAAATTTCCCTTTGTCACTTTTAACTGCTAGGTTCATTAAGATGGGTTCTTCCTAAATTTATTTCTCTCACTTTTAAGTCATTGGGGGCTTCTGTCTCTCTTGTCTAATTATTTTCTAAGCAGCACCTTTTCTCCTTGTTCCTCAAGGTGGCCCATACATTTCATTATAGCTAGGCTATGGAGTACATGTTCAACATTGTAAGAATCCAGTTCTTAGTAGAATGAAAACCCATCGTTTATGACTTGCAATAGATAAACCCAGCCACTATATCAGTGGTCGGCAACCACTGCAGGGGTCACCAACTTTTTTGGGGATTTTCCCAGGGTCACTGGTCTGCGGGATTTAAAATTATGAGTTTGGTGGTCCCTGAGGTCCAAAAGGTTGGTGACCCCTGCACTATATCATATTCAACAAATTACTGCCAAAACAATAGTTAAACATGGTATAGAAATAGCAATAGCACTTAGACTTATATACTGCTTTATAGTGCTTTCACAGCCCGCTCTAAGCTGTTTACAGAGTCAGCATATTGTCCCCAACAATTTGGGTCCTCATTTTACCCACCTCGGAAGGATGGAAGGCTGAGTCAACCTTGAGTCTGGTGAGATTTGAACTACCAAATTGTAAGCAGAACTAAAGTTTCAAACAGTGTTTTGTGTCCTTTATGGTGTGAAGATGATAGCAGCCAAGGAGAGCAAGCCTGAATCCCTTTGATCATAACTGTCATGCCCCTGGTGGAGACTGACTCTGGGGAAGAGGAGGAACAGCTAACAGAGAGTGGAAGTGTGGCTCCAGAGGTGGTGGAGGAGGCTGGGGAAGGGCAGAGGCCGGCTGAGCAATCAGAGGAGGACCCAGGCCCATCCCCTATCCATCCTAGGGCATGCAGGGAGGAGAGCATCAGGGTAAAATGTGTGAGATTTGCATAAGAGTTTGGACCTGCGTGCTAACAGACGCTGGAGACAAATTAGTGTTTTATTCCTAAAGGTTTATTTTGGTTGGTGTTCTTCCAATGGACTGTACCTGGTTATCTTCC